CTAAACCCCAAACCCTAAACCCGAAACTGGACATTCCAACCCAGTCTCAGGCCTTCGGATGCTTTTTTGAAGCAGGCTCCCGAAGGCCTAAACCCCCGAGCCTATCGGTGCTCGGAACCCTACCCTGACCCGTTTTGAGGACTTTTAGGGTTTAGGGTTTAGGGTTTAGGGTACTTGTATAAGGAAGACCCTAAACCAAGCTCAGGCCATGGCCTTTGCCCTGCGGCGGTGGCGGCGGCATCGGATGCGGCATCGGCGGGGCAGGCAGTGCTGGCCTCGGAGCAAATACTATACTGAACTTAGACCCCTAGCCAAAAATTATAATTTTAGCTGCTTCTTGGGGTCTGTAGTAGCCAAAGATTAAAAATTATTTCTAAGTACCCCCAAGAATAGGTGACGACTTGGGGTTGACAAAGCTGAAGATGCCAGGCGAGGTCATATTGGGTTTCGGACTTCGGATTTGGGTTAGGCCATGGGGCTGCTTGGGGTTCTGGAGTTCTTGCATACAGTACAGCTGCTTACATGGAGCACAGGAAGACATAGCAACGGGTCATGCCAGTGATTAATGATTAATGTTATTGTCAACCCCTATAGTCGTACTATCATTATAGCGTTTTTTCCTCGTGATATTGGCTGTTGTTGGTACTGCGACTAAAAACTTTTTGGCGATAAACCGATCCATGCCGGCAACGGGGAGAAACAAGCACATTGCAGTCATCTGCAGTCTCAGCCCGGAACATGGCAGGCTGGCCTCTGCCTCTGCGGGGAGCATGATAAAACAGCAGTAGTAGTAGTAGTAGTAGTAGTAGTAGTAGCAGTAGCAGTAGTAGTAGTAGTAGTAGTAGTAGCAGCAGCAGCAGCAGCAGCAGTAGTAGTAGTAGTAGTAGTAGTAGTAGGAGCAGTAAACACATGCGTGCATGCATGCATGCATGCATGCATGACGAACATACGTACAGCTTGCAGTCCGGCTACTTGCGAGCAAGACCATCGCATTCCATACGTTGGGCCATCGCTCGGGCTCAAAAGCTTGGGATGCAGCGCGGGAATATTCAATTATGCTCAGACTTCCGGGTCCTGACTGCATGTTGACTGCTGTTTACAAAGCTGCAACCTAAAACAGGTCCCTGCTAGATCCCAGCATGGCCTCCGGATTCCATTCCGGGTTCCCATAAGGGTTAAGAGTTCCAAAACAGTTTACTATAAGGATCACGGAGTCATTCAGAAGCTTCGAGTTTCGGCCTGAGGCCCGCTCCTCTACAAAACACACTGCTGAGAGAGCCCAATAGCCGGCAATCGCCCTTCATATCGAACACTGGTGCCTGTCACCAAGGCTGCTCCCGTCCACTCTAGCTCTAGCTCTGCACCCTAAACCCTAAACCCTAAACCCTAAACCCTAAGCCCTAAGCCCTAAACCCTAAACCCTGAGCCTCACCCTAAACTCAAAGGTGCAGGGCATAGGTCCTCTGAACACTATTTCCCCCCCAAACCCTGACCCTTGCATGGCCTTCTCCTGCTACCTTGCGAATGCCGGCGAGGACGTAGGCATTTGGATCCCGAACGGTGCTTGCGTGCTCCTCCCAAGAGCACCGTTGCTTTTTTTTGTGTTGCGAATCGGGGAAGGAAAGCGGAATCCGTCGGGTCTCCGGGTTTTGTCTAAATTGTCTGTTTATGGATGTGTTGGGTATCATTTCAAAAGCTTGCTTGGGGTGAATAGTTAAGGGTGTTGGTTCAGGGCGTGGGCCAGCATGACAGGATGCTTTCGAAAGCAACAGAAGGCATCAATGCAATTTCATCCTTGCATCTGCCAAGCAGCCTGGGATGCAACCTTCAGATACCATTAGGGCTTGAAACAGCCAAAGAACGGAAACCATGAAGGCAGCTGCTACAACAGCATTAACCCGAAACCCTAAACCGTCAACCGATTACAGAAATGAGAGAAGGGCTGCCCTCTGGTACATGGGTGAAGCATCAAAAAAACTAAATACGCATCAACGAAAATTAAATCCAGTGATCAAAACCAAAAGATAAAAAAAGGGCATCGCACATCTAAGTTATAGCTTTTGCAGCAATTCGTAGGGCTTGACCTGCATGGGGACTACTCTTCTTTCGCGTCAAGCTGTTGGGAAAGTGCAACTTGCGAGGCGGGTTTTAGGGTTTGGGGTTTT